GGCTTGTAAATGTGCCCGAAATGTAAGCATACTTAGTGGGATGGTATTTTTTTTTTTAACAGTCGAGTACAGGCATTTCAGCAGCAACATTATTAACAGCGTCATTTTTCTCATTTAGTTTTGTCCTCAGGGGACACCAAACAGCTCCCAGAGGAGGGAAGAAAAGTCCACGGTTATTTATTCGTTTCAGTGAAAGGCAAAGCACTGGCGGGGGGGGGGGGGGGGGGGGGGGGGGAGCGGGAAGCTAACCAGTTGTGAATTTCCTAGGAGGGAAAAATTGCTACTCTAATTTGACAGTAGTAGTTTAAGGGCTGAGAGAGCTGGGCATGATTTTGCAATTCCCATCAAGTGCAGGCAATTTCAGTACTTGTTGGTTGTTTATGTATGTGCTTTTGAGTGGATTTTTGGTGTTCCTGCTTGTGGATATGAAATTGTGTTTTCTGGGCTACACATGTATGACTTTTGTGGTTCATCTGGAAGAAGGAAAGGTTCCTGGGCATGGTGTGGTGGATACTTGCAGTTTTGCAGGCCTGTTTCCTGGGGTCAGGAGGTCATCTGTCTCTTTTGTATTTAGTTTTAAATTATTGATATTGGCGATGGGGTGAGGGTGTGTGGTTGTTGAGCCTCCCCTCAAATCACATTCAAGAACTAAAAAAGTCATCGGGTATATTGAAAATGACAGCTTTGTTAAGCTCCAAGAAACCTTTCCCTAAAATGCCCAGGATTTGCAACCTGTCACTGAGTTTCTTTAGAAGGGAGAAGGTTAAAAGAAAATCAATATTGATAGATACTTGAGATGTCAAGTCCTCTCTGGAGGTTGGTGAAAGGCTCCAATTGGGTAACTTGCTTAATTTTTCAAATATACGATTGAGTTTTGAAAAATCCAGTCTCCTGAAGCACTGGCATTCCTTCTTGAAGTCAACAAACTGTCAGCAAAGAAAATTTTTTCCCCTCTAAGGTGGCAGGGAGTAAGTGATCTAGGGAGGAGATTTTAGTAATTCTGAAATATCAAATATTCCTGTTGCTGCAGGAGGCTTTCACTTCTTTCTAGTTCCTCAAACCAGATTTTGGGGTGAATGCAATTGGCTTGTCATTCATTACCTTTCGGTGTGGGGGAGAGAGAAGAAAGAGGGTTTAGGGAGAGGTAAGTATCCAAGGCTAAGAAGTGTTTGGCCCATTTTAATAGTATCAGAAACTTCTCAGAGATACTTTAACACCACTCTTAATACCATGGCACAGACATGCTGGAAAAAAGGGAAAGTGAATAAAATGCATGTACTTTCTCACTTCCTCTCTCTACTTTTCTACCTGGGATTCAAAAGATTGGTACTTCTCAAATCAAAGGTAATGGATGAGTGTTCTGAGAGAAGCCAGATGTCCCATACACTCAAATCTACCAGTCTCTCTTTACAAAAGTCTCCCTTAAAGTTCATACTGGGAAGGCCTGCAGTGACCTTGATATTGGCTGGACAAGAAGCAGTGTTTTTTTGGGGGGGGGGAATGTCAGCCATCCTGCCCATGGCTCCCAGGCCTGAATGGCCAGGCAAAGCCATATAAACTGAGCACCCAGGAAGCCCTTCCAGGATGTCTCTGTTGCTCATTCTTTCTTCCCTTTTCGTTCATCCCATCTCACCATTACTCCTTTCTCAATTTCCCTTTTCTTGGAAACAAATCAAAACTCAAAACTGCCAAGCATCCTCCATGCTCATCAGACTGTCCCCAACCACCAGCGCTCTACAAACGCGGAGCACCTGAGAGAGATGTGAAGCCCTCAGGGATAGGCCTGGGAGGCCCCACACATCTTCACTTCTCTGGGATCTTACCTGGGTCTGACGCTGCTTCTTCACCCCTGGTGCTGCTGCAGATTTGTGGGCTCTTCTGTGTAACAGTTGTCAATTTTTCGCTTTTCTTTTTTAAGCTTGTGAGAAACTTTTGGATGCAACCTAGTTTTGGTGGCAGAGGGAAATGGTTTCTGTTGATAAGGGAAGCTAATAGGGGAGGAGGGGTACAATGTCTGCAGACACTTGCCCAGGACTCAGCCCTGGGCCTCTTTTGCCAGGGGACAGCGGCTGGGTCTGGGATCTCTGGCTGAAAGGAGCGCTCTCTGGGTGCCAGGATTTCACTGGGGGTGGTGTGGTGTGGAGGGAGGGAAAAAGGGAGGGAGGCAGGGAGGGAGAGAAAGAGAGAGAGATGGGCTCCGGATTTTTAAAGAGACCCCGGAATAATGGCTTCTGTAAGAGTCCAGGCGTTCAAAGAGGTGTGTTCAAGGACATGAGTGCATTCGTGCCAAGGGGAATGTCTTTTATGGTAAATTAACTCCGGTTAAATTGAATATTTGTTCAAAGGGAAACTCCAGTAGTTAAAGCTGGTATTATCAGTAACGCTTCCCCGCCCCCTCCCCTCAGACTTCGCTACGAGAGAAGAGGGAGGCAGCATAATGTGCGATACAAAGTGATGCTTTGGGGTTTTTTATTTTTAATCTGAGATCGCCTAAAAATTTCTGAGAGAGAAACGAGTATTTATTTGGATTAATCCCGACTGTCACCTCATTCCTTTCATCTATAAAGACTGTGAACTTTATCCTGGCTTTTCAAAAAGAAAAAATGACCCACACAAAGGAAATTAACGTTGTCAGAACGCTGACTGGAGGATTTGCCTCCGGGGGGAGCAGGGAGCCTGCTCCCAGTGCTGTGTGCCCTGAAGGGTTAACTCCGGGGAGTTCTCGAAATTTCCCCGACTTTACCTGTCTTCCCAGATCCACCGCTCCCCCTCTCTCCAGCCTCCTCAGCTCCCCACCCCCCCAGCGCCTTTCTTCTTTGGGCTCTGGGTTTACGGGGGCTGCAGCTGGTAGACTTGGCAAGCTCGCCTCATTAAGAGCGCTCTTTGAAAACGGACTGTGTTTGAGCATTTCCCTAATGAGGACAGGACGGGGTTAAAAAGTGACCATTTCATGGTTGACTTGAACCTGCCTACTTTTCTTGATGTGTCGTTGTGAAATGCTTGATGTGGATAACTCCCACTTGGTGAAGGAAAAAGTCACTGGTTCCTTCAGGTCCGCTGGGGGGACCGCGGGGGGGGGGGCGTGGGCAGAAGCGGGAGAGAGCGAGAGAAAGGAGAAAGTTGAGGAAGAAAACCGAAAGAGAGGAAGAGGAGAAGAGGGAAGGAGAATCAGAGAGCCCCGCCAGACCCCAACAGCACAGCTGGGAGCAGGGGCGGCCCCGCCCTGGGGCTGGGGCAGTCGAGTCCCCTTCGTGGCCCCAACCGCCCCCGGCAGCCCCCAGCTAGGTAGACGCGGAGCCCCTGGCACTCACTTTTCCTCTCTCCATTGTCTGGACAGCCTTTGCTTCCACCTCTTCCCCACCCACCCCTTGCCGAAAACCGGAATTTGGGGGGCGGGGAGTGTGTGTGTGTGTGTGTGTGTGTGTGTGTGTGTGTGTACGCGCGCGCGCCCGCGGGCGCGTTCAGAAAGGGTGCAAGGCAAATCGCCTCCCTCCAAATACCCGAAATCAAGTTCATTCACTCGGGACCCCGCGGTTAGCCGCCGGGGTGGGGGCGGGGCCCTCCGCGCGGGAGCGAGGCCGGCGCGGCCGCCTCTGCAGGGCTGTAGGGGCACACGCACCCCGCTCGCGCGCGCGCCCGCCCACCCCGCAGCTTCGGGCGCGCCGCCGCCCCGCCCTGCCTGCACCCCGGCGGGGAGGGAGCCGCTTTCCGCCGGCGCCCCGGGCCCCGGGGGGTGGGGATTGGGAGCGAGCCAGCGGGGCTGCAGGAGGAGGAGAGCGGAGCGAGCCGCGGGAGGAGGAGGAGGAGAAGGAGGAGGGAGCAGGAGGCGGCGGCGGCAGCTCGGCCCGATCCTCCCGCTCCGAGCGAGGCCACGTGCACGGGGCACCCCCGGGAGCGCGGCAAACCGCGGCGAAGCGCGGCGCGCCGCTTCTGCCGAGCTGCCCCGGGGCGCGGGCTCGCGCTGGGGAGACCCCGGAGGACCCCGCCCCCCGCCCCCCCGTCCGTGCCGGCGCTCCCCAACTACTTGAGCCGAAGTTCGCTCAGGCCCCCGCCTCCTCGGCCTGCCCCTCCTCCCTTCAGCCGGCGGGCTTGGCGGACCGCGCCCGCCCCGGGTGCGAGAGTCGGCGCCCCAGCCTGGGCCCCGGGGCGGCCTGGGTGTGAGGGAATTTTCCATTCGTTTCTTCCTTGGGCCCAGACCGGCTCAGTGCTTCTCCCACTCGGATGTTCCCGCGGCTTAAAGAGTCCGCAGCGAGCACAGAAATACCTCTTCCAGGGCGGGTTTTCGGGTGTGTGTATGTGTGTGTGGTGGTGTGGGGAGAGTGCGGGACTTATCCAAAGGGCGGAAAGGAGATCTAGTTTGGAAAAAAAAAAAAAAGTCATGGTTCTGTTGCACCGATATGAGACCTTTAACAAATGAGAGGGAGAGAGAGAGAGAAGAGAAAGAGAGAAGGAGGAGGAGGAAGGTGGGGGGCGGGGGGTGTGGAGAGGCTGGTGCAAAAGGAATGCGCGTTTGCAGGAGGAGGAGTAAAGCGATGATTGTGTAATTAAATAATAAAACAATCCTTAAGTCTGATTTGGAGAGAGCTCGAGAGGGGTCCAGAGGGTGGAACCGGTGAAAATTTCAACTTCCAAGTTTTGCAACGAAAGAAAGCGAGAGAGGGAGGGGAAAAAAGAGCCCAGATCAGAAAAGAGAGGAGTTTGGAGCCGAGCGGGAGAGCGGGATTTATCGTTTGGGATTTTTCAGGAGCTCGTTCCGATCCCCCTGGGCTCTGGGCAGCGGCGGCGGTAGCAGCAGCCTCCTCGCTCGGCCGGGTCAGACGCGGGGCGAGGCGGGCGGCCGGGCGGGCGGCCGGGCGTGGAAGAGCCGGCGCGGGCGGCGGCGGCTGCAGCCGGGGGCCGTGCCGCGAGCCTCTTCCGCCCGGGAGACCTGCGCCCGAGCCCCCTCCCTCACCCCAGCCTCTCCCTTCTCCCCCCCCCACCCCGCCCCCACCCGGCCCTCTCCCGCGCGCGCCCCGCCACCCGCGCGCACTCGCTCACGCTCCCCCTCGCGCACACACATGGTCGGCTCGCGGCAAAGTTTCGCCTGCGATCGCCACTCCGGAATCCTGCCGCAGTGCTCGGGGCTGTAACCTTGAACTTTCCCAGCGCGGTGACACATTCTCCTCGCTCTCCCTCCCGCGCTCTCTCCTGCGCCCCCCTCCCCGCCTTTTTTAAAAAAGCATTTCACCACCAACCACCACCCCAATCCAACCCACGCCGAACCTTCGCGCACCCCTTAGCCCACAACAACAACAACAACAACAACAACTGCAAAACAGAAAATAAATCCCCAAACCCAGGCGAAAAGCAGCCAACACCGGCGGCGGCGGCGGCGGCCTCGGCGAGCAGGGCCAGCGCGCTCGGACTGCAAGAGGGTTAAAAGTGTAGATTGGATTTCACCCCGGGAAATCTAGCACGCCGAGTGAACTTGAATCTTTGGCTATTTAAGGAGGACTGGGTTTGTTGTGAAGTTGCGGTGATCCAGCGCAGAGCCCCGTCCTGATTGAACGCATCGCGGGGCTCAGATGACTGTAAAATGAATAGATGAAATTCTTGCTTCTCGAAGATTTTCTTGGGCATCTCCGGGAAAGTGCGTTTTAAGGCGAAGTCATGATGTATTCTCCCATCTGTCTCACTCAGGTACATGTCTCGGTCGCTCTCTCGAGCTTTCTCTCTAGTCCGAAATGCCTTTGTTTTGTTTTGTTGCTTTCGTCTGCGGACAATTAACGGCTTTAGTTAACCTCCGTACATCCCTGTCCCTCGCAGAAGTGGCCTTGAGTTGCGGCGGGATTTGCGGGGCGGCGTGGGAGCCGGCGCGCGGCCGCTCGCCCGAGGCCACTCCGCGCGCCCGGCCCCGCGTCCTGGGCTCGCGGAGCGGGCGCCCGCGCGCTGCCAGGGCGGCTGAGCCGGGCGAGGCCGCCGGGGGTGGGCAGGGCCCCGGCCCGGGAGCGCTAGCCCCTGCGCGGCCCCCCAAGTGCCTGCTGCTGTGCGGCGCCCCTGCCTAGGGTGCCCGTCGTCCCTGTCGGTCGCTGGAGCGCTGAGACCGACTCGGGCTTTAGAGGAGCTTTACGGGGGCACAGAGCACTTATAAACAACCAGTGAACTTGGGCGAGGGGACTGTAGCACGAGTCCTTGTGGGCGCCTCTGGACTCTGCTGCAGGCAGTGGGCGGGCGACGAAGCGAGTCGGAGGTTGTGGTCCGGAGACCCATTCCTTTGCTTAATTTGGGGATCTGAAACTCTGGTCCATCGTGATCCGCACTTTGAGGTTTCCAGTGACCACACCACAAAGGCAGTCTTTACGTTGACACGAGTTAGTTGGTCGTGGGGAAAGTTAAGGACTTTAGAACATGTTCATTTTGTGGAGACCTGTTCATTTGATATTTGGGCGTAGCTCGGAAAGCAGAAAGTAATGCTGGAAACGTAAAGTCATTTTTTAAAAAATTCACTTTGAAAATTGTCCTAAGACTTTAGGAACAACGTTATGAAATGAAACACTGGCTTGATACATTTTTAAGAACACAATTTATATAATTTTAAGCCAGACGGTCAAATGGAAAAGTGGTGAGACCGAACGGACTTACCTGGGGGCGGTTTTCATCGCTGCCCAGCTAACTAACCAACTGGCGAACTAACTAAATATCTTAGCCCAGAGTTGTTATTTGAAGCATTATTTTAAACCTCGAAAGGTGTGGGACTGCTGACTTCACCTTTGAGGAGGAAATGTCACCATTGGTAATTGATAACCATTTTCTTGGACATTGCCATAGAAAACTACACAGTTAAAGAAGTGTCGCCAGGTCTTAGTTGTGTTACAATTTTTTAAAAATCCAATATCACGATGATACATTTTTATAATGGACAAATGATTAAGATTTCAATTGTATGACAATTAGAAGCCATTGTGATTGGAAAGGACCGAGGCATTCATAAATTGTGAATGAAGATGAAAACAATGATAAGGCTTATTCAGTGATTGGATACAGTCCTGTAGCTTTTTGGCTGACACATTTTTTATTGTTTATATTTTGTTTGGCATCTGAGTATGATTAACTTAGATATGGCTATTTTCAGCAAGTAACGTGCACTTTAATTTAACAAAACTGGAAAAATGAGTTGCTGAGTTATTTGTATTTTAAAAGCTACAAATAATGGACAATAAATATGACGATGAAACTGTTTCAGGTATAACGAATTACCTTTAGTTGTAAAAGTTACCTTTCATATTACCTATGAGCAGGATATTTTTTTCTTTCTGGTAAACCATGTTCATTTGGTATTATCTCTACATTATTGAAGCCTAGTTCAAATAAAACAAATTGAGGTAAGCTTTTTTGCTTACAAAGTACTGCATCACTTATTCTCACCTGCAAAGGATTGCTTTTCCTTATTAATTTATATTTCTAGCATCAGCTGCTCAGAAACCTTGGTAGCGATTACACTGCATTTTTTAATTTCCTCTAAATATGCACTGTAAAGTCACTAGCTTTATCTTAATTTCTGTAAGTTGGAAGTAACATGGCAGCATCGTGACATATGGAATATTAGGAGCATATACAGCATAATCTCAGCTATCACATTAGTATTCAAGAACACATACTTACCAACACTAATTCATGATGACTAACATTCTCTCTTGTTTTAATAATGTAAATCTAGGTTGACGTATTAAAACTGTTTTGGGGGATTTCAGACCTATACTTCAGAAGGAATTGTAGCTTTCCAATTCTCAGTATCTCTGTGACTTTATAGGTAACGTAAGGTGTTGCAAAAAGTAAGAGTACATTAATAGTGTTACTTTTATATCAGACCAGTAGGTTAGCTTTGTGTTGTAAGAGTCTATTAGCTACAGCAAAATGTTTTTTAGGATGTGTAAATACAGAATAGAGAAACATTCTTAATTGGTTGAAAACTTTACAAAGTGTCTCAGCTGTTGCAATAAAGTATCTAGGTTTTAGAAAGAATTTTAATTCAAAAGGAGCTACAGTTAAAGTTGTTGATATTTAGCAAAACGTTATGTAAAAGTGTCAGTATATCCTTATAAATCAGTATTTATACTTCAGTACAAGTCAGATATTGAAGGAAAACTAAGAACCTTCATATATGATTTAATATTTTGCTTTTTCTAAAAATAATGTAAACCCTTAATAAAACTCACTTGGCATGACTGCATTGAATTATTAAAATTTCAAGTTCTTCATGGAACATATTTTAAATGGTTTATTGTTATATACCCGTGCCTCAAGAATATCTAGTATTTACTCTTCCACCTCTTTATTGCTCTAATTTTCCATCCCTTTCATGGAAACCATTGTTTCTGTAAAGAAAAATAAATATTCTTGGTGGAATTAGGATTGTTTACTTTTACATTTGATATTTGTAACTTGGTTATTTATTTTATGAATTTAGTTCAGCTAAAGGAAGTTTTAAAAGAGAAATGTCAATGAATTTTAATAAAAATTCTAAAAGGGTGAGGTGGCATATTACCTTAGTGTAGAGCCATTAGATCTTAGGTCACTTATATGCTTAGCTTAAAAATAAAACCAACTTTCATAATGGTTTAAAGTGTTATTGTGATAACCTATTAATTAGGACATTTGAATACCTTAATCACTTCTTTTTTTTGGATGAAGACAGTTACTCTGCTTCATATGCATGTCACTCAAAATTACTAAAAACGTATAGCAACTCAGTGTTAGAAAACAGTCACACTCGGGAGATGACATTTTAGGCATGTTAATACAGAAGTGTATGTGACTTATAACAAACCTCTACTTATCATTTTTTTGGAAGTTATGTCTCCTTGTCAAGTGTTTCACTTGAAAGGAATCCACAGAACAGTAAAACCCTGAAACATTTTTATAAGGCAACTTTGTGGACTGAGAAAGTTTGCTGTTTCTATTTGTCAGAAAGAAAAAAACAGTATATTTTAAAACATTATTTGGCAGCATTGGCAACAAACTCAAGGCAACCTTGAAAAAAAAACCCCACATTGTTTTGTGTGCATTTGCTAACAAATTCCAAATTCAGTTCTCAAATTTGCATTTTGATTGTTTAAAATAATTTATTAAAATTTTGGGATTTATTACATGACATGATTTGAAACTCAAACAAATTTAATCAAAAGTATGTTTGATGTCTTTATAAGAAAATGAAATGTCACTGAACATAGTACTTAAGGATGTAAGCACTTGAGAGTTACCGCACTGCTTAATATCTGTTGCAATAATACAGCATTTTTAAAAGCGTGGCAAGGGTAAAATGAATGACACAAAGCTCCCCACCCACCCCCATGTATTCTTTACATTCTCAACTCCTTAGCTGATGAGTATGTATGTATGTTTTTTAATCATATCAATAAATTGTAGTTAAACATCAGATTGTAGGAAGTGAGTTCCCAAAGCATGTTTAAGTCCACACTTCCTTAAATGGGGCTTCCTTTGCATTATTTCTAAGGGGGATAAACAAAGTTTTTGTAGTTACAGTGAAGCTGAAAGCATGGCATCAGAAAGTATATGGAGATAGGGAGGTCTTATCATGGGCTGTGGTTGCTGTGAGCCGGGCTGCCTTCCCACACAAAGAACAGATTGTGGTTTAACTCTTTCCATGGCCTAGTTTAATGTGCTCGCATAGTAACCGAATTGTTCAAATCTCTGCTGGAAACTACTGATCGGTTTAATGATTTCCTCTATGGCATTTGGTTATGCCTCATGCTGTGATGTAATCATCTGCATTCTGTATTGTTATAAAATTTTGATTTATACTCATTCTGCCGGAGGAACGTTTTACAGCAATATGTTAAAACACTTGATAACTGCGTTATTGATTGGATGGGACATACACCTTTTCCGTGTGTGAAACGCATACTGCAAACACGCTGTAGTCTTTAGCACCGAAAACTCGAATTTCATCTTATAAATGGATTCAAACCCATAGGGCATTTTCTTTGGCCACCTTCTTTGTTAGAGTGTCATTAGGTGCACTTTCTTCATCTTTACCCTCATGGCATTCATCAGACTGCTGGTTAGAAAGAATTTATTCCACGCAATTCAGGGTGACCAGCCCTAGTGTGTCAATTCTAAGTTGGGATAGGATAAGTTAGAGAAAGTTATTTTCCTGGTTGGGGTGATGGTGCATTCAGTGTGTGCAGAAAAGTGGCCGCGATGGGAAGTTCTTATTTGCTTCGGATCTTGGTTTATTACACGCGTACAGTATGCCTGCACAGGATGTTAGCTCTTTCTCTGAGCAGTAATAGGCCTAAGCTTACGAGACAGGTTTTACCTATGGCAGGAAGTAATGAAACACAAACTGCTTTGGGAAGTAACTTGAAATATCTGTAGGTGAAGATGACCTGCCATTGCTCACTGCCTCCCTCCCTTAAAAAAAGGCTTAGATGGAACAGGCAGGGAAAATGCAGGAGCTAAGGTAAAACTACTTCATTCAAGAGACAGGATACTGTAGAGTTGATACACGTGCAGACTCACAAGCCATGCATACGTGCACCCACACTCCGGCCGGAGAATTCACATGCGTAGCAAATGAATTGTATTGATTCCACAAAAGCAGTAAGTGACCAGCGGTGCACTCCTGGTGTCACCCTGCCACCGCATGCAGAGACACAAAGCATGTAAAGTTGGTGCCAAGTTGCCATTTTTCATTGTTCACCTCAGATTGATTTTTGTTTAGAAGAATTGCCATACTCATGTGATCGGTTAACAAATTAACTGACTCTGTGGGGCTTCAGATTCTATAGGAAAGCTGCCGGAAGAACATTCATATGACTTTTGTTTTCAACTTTGGAAACTTTTTTTGAAAAACGAAAAGAGTGTGTCTGTAAGAGAATAGGAGAGTGTGAGAGTGAGTGAGTGTGTGTGTGTGTGTGTGTGTGTATGGCGTGTGTGCGTGTGTCTTGGAGGCGAGTGCTGGTGGTGGAGGGAGAGAATTCACTGCTCAAAGTATGGAAACCTCCTGTTCAGGACACTGATACGACAAGCTGTGTCCTTTGCCCACTTTCCCTCACTGTATACCGGTTTCTCTAGTTACCACTCTTGGAATGGTGCTGTTTCAGTGTTGGAATGTTGGACGTTTGATAAGAAAATGGATCAAGTTTAATGGCGCATGCTCTTTGTGCCACCAGCAGCCTCTTGCTGAGAGCATGCTCCAAAAGCGGGAACTGTGTGGCATTACACTGAGCATCTATATGCTTTGTGTTTCTGTGCCACAGAGAAGAGAAATGAACTGTGGCATCGCTCCTGCCTTCTGAACAGCTCTGCTCCGATTAAAAAAAAAAAAAAACTCACTGTGTTCTTTGTAAAATGGTACTGCTTAGTGTTAGTTGGTCAATCAAATATTTAAATATTAAATTAGGTGCCAAGCACCTTGGTTATTTATGTTTTAAAGAATGTAGGATGCATGGTGGGAATGAGGGGGATGGGACCAGAGTGGAAATACAAATATAAATCTTATTTTCTTTTTAGGAGGCAGAATCAACCTGTAAATTTTGGTGGAAAAGGGGCTGCTTGGCATACTTTATTTTCTTCTTCTGCTATTTTGATAATTTTAAATAAGAAAAGAATGTGATTTTTATGCATAACTTTTTGTAATGAATTGGGAATGGACTGTAGTTTTATTTATTTATTGAGCTTTTAAAACCAAGCTGACTGTGTCTGTCTTCTTTCTCCCCCCCCCCTTCATCTTCCACAGGATGAATTTCACCCATTCATCGAGGCACTCCTTCCACATGTCCGTGCAATCGCCTACACTTGGTTCAACCTGCAGGCTCGGAAACGCAAGTACTTTAAAAAGCACGAGAAGCGAATGTCAAAGGATGAAGAAAGAGCAGTCAAAGATGAGCTTCTTAGCGAAAAGCCTGAAATCAAACAGAAGTGGGCATCCAGGCTCCTGGCCAAACTGCGCAAAGACATCCGCCAGGAGTATCGAGAGGACTTTGTGCTCACCGTGACTGGCAAGAAGCACCCGTGCTGTGTCTTATCCAATCCCGACCAGAAGGGTAAGATTAGGAGAATCGACTGCCTGCGACAGGCAGACAAAGTCTGGCGTCTGGATCTAGTCATGGTGATCCTGTTCAAAGGCATCCCCTTGGAAAGTACCGATGGAGAGCGGCTCATGAAATCCCCACATTGCACAAACCCAGCACTTTGTGTCCAGCCACATCATATCACAGTATCAGTTAAGGAGCTTGATTTGTTTTTGGCATACTACGTGCAGGAGCAAGGTAGGAGCAGATTGTTCTTTCTTCTAGTACGGCAAACACTGCCCACAAACCCCATATACGGAACAGCTGTCTTGGGTTAGATGGTCCTCGAGGCCCCTAGATCTCCTTCACCCTTTCTGGGTAAAATGGCCTTCCCTCTTCCACTCCCATGTCCACTACCATGGGCCAGCCATGGACATACGCATGGAACTTTCATACCCGGATAGGCATGGGTATTTTGGGAAAGACCACAAAGAGATGCGTTTTCAAATGTTTTTGAAATAATATACCTTTTCAAAGACACAGACTAGTCTGAAAAGTATAGTTTATTACAATTCACTTTTTGTCCTTGGCTGCATTCTTGTGTCTAGTCATTTCTCAATTTGAAAATGTAACTTTATTTATGAATAGTCAAACCGCTTTTTAATAATCTTTGTATTGGCCTCATAACTAACAAGGTAGATGAACTTTGCTCACGAATCTAGTCCTATTGCACCAAAAATAGAATTAATGTTTCCTATTACAAAATGCTTAAGATAGCCAATACCAGAAAGTGTATCTTACGTGGACCTAGATTTATTTAATTTGAATGTATCTATCAACACCTCCTTTTGATTGTGTAATATTCACCATAGATTAAATGGATTATAGTTCTTGTTTAAATAATTTATGGTATAATATTTTCCCAGCGTGACTTGGGAATACTTAGTATCATTAGTTTACTTGAATGTGAATTCACAAAACTTACTGAGGAGAAAAGTTGCAGCTCTCCTTACAGAACAAAAACAGAAAGTGGACTGGTTACACTGGTTTAAAATAAATCTCAAAAAGAATGCAGAAACCACATACCATACCTATTAAAAAAATACCTGATAAAGACAGTGGTATAAATGTTGCCTGGTTGGGTCAAAAATGAGGGGATATTTTTGCTGAGTATTTTTTGAGCTCATGAAATATGTTTCTTTATTATTATTTTGTATTTTCCTTTAAATAAGTGAGGATTTCTTTTCTTCAAATAAATGTGTCAAGATACGGATTTCCATGTATTAGCAACATCATTTTAAAAAGCAGCATACCAAAAGTGGACTGAAGTTTGATCTGCCACAGATGGTGGGTCATTTCCTAACTTGGCCTGGTGGTAGGGAAATGGTCTGCAGATACTGAGGTGGCAGACGGGTTATCTGATATTCATTATATAAATCTGGGATTCAGTAAATTGGTATGAACTTTATTATTATCCAAAAAAATAAAATACCAGATTTACTCTTTTGACTCAGAAATCTAGGTACTTGTTACGCACTTGTCTTTATAATTCCTTGGTATAGTGTTAGAGATATGCTTAAATGTCATTTAAAAAATTTTAGTTTGATTTTAAATAAGATGCTGGACATGATATATTTGAAACTATTACTTATTTTGTTGTTGTCGAGACATTGCATTTGCCATTACCATGCATTTAACAATTGAAGTCCAAGTAATGATGGTTTAGAGAAAAATATATTTTTGCCCTGTGTGTCCTAAAGTAGAAGCTCATAAACACATGACACTTAATTTGATTGACAGCTGTCTAGGAGGTGACATCCTGAGGTGGGCTGTATATCTGTGCTGGATTGACTGTGAATGTGTTGTAAGTGTGTTATGAAAGTCAAGGCTGGGAAGTAAAGTTTTAAAAAGTGGGCCATGCAACTTTTTAGTGCAGGGAGGGAAGATTTGCAGCCACTTCACTGCTACTCACATTTTAACTTGCTTGAAGGCTAGTCCTTGAGGTGTGCATGCATGTACATTCACTCCGGAGGCAGGCAGCCAAGTCTCTTGGTTGATGAACTGACAATAAAGAACATATCCTTTGGATTTGTGGAGATAGATTGAAGAAAGAAAAATGCATAAATGCCTTCTGCACTGCACCATTGGTCATGATAATCATGAGTTTTAAGCAACTCTTGGAGACCATGTTTTCAGATAAAACATTGATTTTGTTGTTTTTTTTGAATCTCTATCATAAAAAGCTTTCATTATTTTACCCTGTACATCTAATTTGTATCCTCTCCTACCTGCCAGTGCGTCATCTCTTCTTAACATCTGTTGGCTCTTTCTTTGAAAAAGTCACATCAGGATGCTTTTGTGTTTTCCTTTCTTCAAAATTTATATCTTTTTTTTTTTTGGTCAAATGTAGGTTAATTATGTTGTTTTGCAGTGCAATTGATTGAAGAAGGCATTTACAAAGACAAGTCTGTAGTCAATCAAAGTGCTGCCTATCTCCCATCATGACTCTTTATTTCTCCTCTAAGTACATGAAAACCCACTTAAGTCGGTTTTATAAATCAGGCAAAGAAGTATGAAGAAAAACATGTAGGAAAAATAAGAAAAGGGAACTGTAATGTTTACAACAGAATGAGCAACAAAATTACCTTTCCCCCCCTTTTTCTCCATCTCCGCACTTCTAAATGACTGGGAGGAAAACATGAGAAAGAACAGAGAGAATGCCAAAGATGGTTGCCACTGGTACCAGGATTGGCATCAGACCCTCTTTGTTTAGCTCAGGATGCCTGTGATTTGTTAGTTGGCATCCGCATTGCAGTGTGGAGTGATGTTACAATATATTGACAATTTCCAGATCTAGAAATGTCAATAGTCCTCTTGGTTATTTATACAAGATCACAAACTGCATCTCTTCTGGAGGAGGAAATAAAGACCAACATATAATAAAGTTCCATTGTTGGCCAACTTCCTATGCTATTCTTTTTCCCTCTTTCTCTTTTGGTTCAACCCACACTTTTTTTTTTTTCTTCATGCCCAGCAGCCTCATCTTTTTTTGAAATGTGGAAAGAGTTACTAGAGCTTTGACACAAGCTCTAGTACTACATCTGCATCTGATATGGTTTTGGGAAAAATTTATGCATTTTGAAATCACTTTTGATATATAGTTCATTAGACCTTTGCATCACATGGCCACAAAGGCAGTATTTTCTTTAAAGCTAAATCTCTTTGTTATTCAGCTTCTTCGATGCATATAGCCCGACTGACCGCAATTTAGTCCTTTTTTCTATTTCTTCACAATTAGTAAAAGGTCATGTTCAATACAGTCATTTATAAAATTATATAAGCCCCCCACTTTACCTCAAATATACACATCATGTGGGAGTAACTGCGTTTAAATCCATAAAATCATTTGACGTTATTGATTCAGAGGGCTGCGCTTCGGCTGTTCCGTTGCTACAAGAACCGCCATTTTGTTTGTGAAGTGCCAGGCGAGGGGGAAAAAAAAGGCAGACACTGTGCTTGATGCCAATAATGGTTGCCAGTGGCACCGAGGTTGGCATCAGACCCTCTTTGTCTAGTTGCTGAATGCCTTTGATTCGTTGGTTGGCATCCGCATTGCAGTGGGCACACTGGAAAGTTTTTGACAATCCCTGAATGAAAGCTGCTTGCTTGTTTGCTGCAGCAAACCTTAGCTAATATAAAACCCTTCCTTTTTATTTTTTAGGTTGTTGTTTTTTGTTTTTTAAGACTGTGATAGATTAGAGGAAAAAACAGCTCTAAAGTGGCCTCCATTTTCCCAAAGATGTTAAAGATGTCCAATGATTCTTGGGCAGGTGGTACCTATTCCCCATATTGTCTTTGTTATTGCATTCATGAAAGCAAAGCAAAACAAAACAAAACAAAAACCAGGCAAACCCTGCACAGGACACCTTTCTGGGACATAAGTGTGCTGTAGGATGCGGGGTGTGCGTTGAGGGTGTGGAAGACTAGCTGAATGTAGTGATGTGTAATGCATTCATTATGACTGACTCTTGCTTTCAGTCACATCACCGCTTATTTATGTAATCTGTAGTTCCCTCAGTTTCCAGCTATCCAAATTTTATAGTAACATGTTGAGAGGATTTAACTTTTCTTTCTAGTGACTAACGTGGAACAGTGTAAATGTTAAAAAAGAAAATAAGCAAAGCTTTATGAGGAAACCTATGTGTTAAGGTCTGATACAAATCCTCCGTTCCTGAATTTCTCAATTCTGCATCAAAATGTTGCCAGATTCTCAGAGCACACAGTTCTGCACACCAGGAAAACCAACCAAAAGGCTAAAATAATTTTGGTTGACGTTTCCTAGATAGTGAGCATTAATATTGCTTTCCGGTTAACCACCATTATCTCATTAATTAATAAGAAGGATTAGCAGTTCTACCCCAAAGGCCTGCAGAGAAGGAAGTCTGGCTTATGGGAGGCCTTGAGTCCAGGCTGTGTCCTGTCTGAAAGGGAAACGGGGGTGGGGGGGGTAGGGGGGGTGGGGGGACTGTGCTTTCCCTGAGGCAGGGAAGGGTTTTGAAGAAGGAGGTCAAAACACACTAAGAAGTTTAAAGATCTCAAGAGATAGTAACTATTGTCCTGAATTTAACAGATCAGAGTTTAAACTAAGTCAGCCTAACTGATTTTTGGACGGTACTTTTGCTCCCCTATTAAACATGTTTCAGATACTGAAGAGAGTCCAGGAACCTCTCATGGCTTATGGCTTTCATCAAGGAGGAGTTTCCTTTAGCCTTGGGGAACCCTTAAAGTCAGGATCCACTGCTGGATGGCAACTTTTGTTGTTTTATTGTTAAACATTATGATAATTAAAGTACATTTTAAAGTTGTGAAAAATGTGACTTGTTTACAGGGGAGGTTGTAATCATTGTTACTGTTTTTGAAATAGAATCCTTCCCGGTTGTCACATATCATTAGCGAGGAAGCAAATGCTAAGAATTATTTTCCTCCCTCAGTTACTGACTTTTAGAATCCTTTTGGGTAACCATTATTTCTTTATGAAAAGCTTATGTAGATAATTGTTTGCAAGTTGACAGCGTATTTTAACATTTTAATAAGTTTCACTTCATTTGCAGGTATTTCCCATTATGGGGAAAACTAAGCTCTTGTAATTTGGTGAAATGAGGCCGCCCTCCAGAATGATCTGGTGTGCTTGAATTTGCGAAGGGCTCAGAGAGCATAAAGTTTGTGTGCATGTGGGATTTAGGGGGACACTGCTAAGT